GGTACTAAAATTTTTAGTCATGTCGACCTGATTAAGGCATACCATCAAATACCAATTAACCCAGCCGACATCCACAAAACCGCCATATGCACACCATTCGGTTTATTCGAAAGTATCCGTATGCAATTCGGCTTATGCAATGCATCCGCGACTTTTCAACGTTTTATAGATGAAGTCACGCGGGATTTAGAAGGTGTTTACGCTTTTGTCGATAACTTGTTCATAGCCTCTAAAGATTCTGAGGAACATTGCAGGCATTTGAAAGCTTTATTTTCCAAACTTCAGGAATATGGACTTTGCATAAATGTTTCAAAATGCACCTTTGGTCAAACATCTATTGATTTCTTAGGTTTTCACCTTAGTGAAAACGGAATTGAACCTCTTCCTGACAAAGTCAAATGTATTTTAGATTTTCCTCAACCTACCACTCTCACTCAGCTTCGGCGATTTTTAGGCATGTTTAACTTTTATAGATGTTTCATACCTAAAGCAGCACATATTCTTTCTCCTTTAATAAAATTGTTAGAAGGCTATATTAATAAAAAGAAATCTCGTTCTCGTGTTCAGGATTCATCCCCACAATTAAATTGGAACGAGAATGCTGAACAAGCCTTTATTGCTGCCAAAAATGCCATTGCTCAGGCTACCCTTTTGAGACACCCTATTCCCGGAGCCCAGCTAAGCATCTGGGTAGATGCCTCAGACGTCGCAATCGGCGGCACACTTATGCAGTTGTCTCAACAAACATGGGAACCTATAGCATTTTTCTCTATGAAACTCAATAAAAGTCAACAGAAATGGTCCGCGTACGATAGGGAATTATTTTCTATTTATTCTGCAATTAAGAAATTCCGACACATGTTAGAGGGCAGAAATTTTATAATTTATACGGATCAAAAACCGTTAATATACGCTTTTAAACAGAACCCTCATAAATGTTCACCTCGACAATTGCGACATTTAGATTTTATTTCTCAGTACTCTACTGATATTAGGCATGTGCAAGGTTCAAAAAACGTCGTTGCTGACGCTCTTTCAAGAATCGAAATTGATTCCATAACAAAATCTCCATTTTGGATTTTAAAAAATTTTTCGGAAGCTCAACGGCATGATCCGGAGGTACAAGACCTTCTCAAAAACAACACATCATCTTTGAAACTGGAATTTAAACCGTGCCAATATTCTGATGGTAATATTCTTTGTGACATATCAACAGACATTCCTCGTCCATTTGTTCCGAATTCCTTTCGCAGACTCATCTTTAATCATCTGCATAATCTGTCACATCCAGGAATTGCAGCTACTACGAAGCTTATTTGTTCTCGTTATGTATGGCCCGATATGAAACATCATATCAAAAATTGGGTGAAATCCTGTTAATCTTGCCAAAAATCGAAAATTACTAGGCATACTAAAGCACCACTGGGCACATTCTCTCTTCCTGATGCACGTTTTTCAGAAATCCATATGGATATCGTCGGACCGTTACCTCCATCAGAAGGCAATGTGTACCTTTTGACTCTAATAGATAGATTCTCCAGATGGCCTGAAGCCATTCCCATCCCGGATATGAAAACGGAAACCATTTGCAGAGCCATCTTCAACCGTTGGATATCTCGTTTTGGCTGCCCATCGATCATAACAAGAGACCAAGGTTCTCAAATGAGATCCGCACTTTTTGCAAGAATTTACGCGCATTTTGGGTACGAACAGAATCACAACAACAGCCTATCATCCAATGTCCAACGGCATTGTTGAACGATTTCATCGACATTTAAAATCTTCTCTCAAGGCTCACGAGACCAATAACTGGACTGAAACACTACCAGTTGTTATGCTTGGTATTCGGACAGCCGTAAAGGAAGATCTACAGTCATCTTGTGCTGAACTGGTGTACGGCACAACTCTCAAGCTGCCTAGTGATATGATAACGTCATCTAAGATATCTCCGTATGACACACAATTTATCACGAATCTTAGGCATAGAATGCAACAGTTGAATCCAATAGCAACATCTGCACATTGCCAAGAAAAATGTTACGTAAGTGCTACCTTAAAGTCGTGTACGCATGTATACTTACGTGTCGATCGAGTAAAGCCACCTCTGTGCCAACCATATATACAGGTCCGCATAAAGTCCTTTCTAGAACAGACAAAACTTTCACAATTGATGTTAACGGTCTGAAATCTACTGTGTCTATAGACCGTGTGAAACCAGCCTATTTGCTTTCGGACTCTAATTTGCCTGAACTGAAAACAAATAAAGACTTAAAGACAGTTCAGCAGAATAAATCTGCAAACGAACTCTCTAAGACACAAACTGTCACCAGATCGGGAAGACATGTTCACTTCCCTAAGAAACTTGCTTCTTACATAACAATTTAAAACATTTTTTTTTAAAATTCATATCTTAACATATTTCTTGTTATTTCATGTTTATTATATGTGTCAATACCTTGTTATATATTGAATTGCATTTTGATCTTTTCTAATTTTATATTCTAATTTTGTAATCATGTAAAAAAATACCCGACAGTACGGATCCTCTAAGATAATTTCATAACCTATGTCGTTCCTTTGAATAGTCATTAAAGGAACTGGGGGGAAACTGTGTGGTGATGGCGATAAGGAGCGCGCCTTGCGCCCTCCGATAAGTGTGGCAACCCTAGAGGAGAAATTTCTTACGAGTAGCGAGCAGAGCGAAACAGGCAGGCTGTCGGGGAGTATGCGCGATGTTCCTAAATAAAGTTTAATTTTTATTGTGCACTATGTCTTGTTAATATTTATATTAATGCAGTAAGAACATAATCTGTGATATGGAATTCGAGGATTGGTGGTAAAAACATAACAGGAAATCACTATAATTCTATCGAAGTTGGGCATTGCCCGCAATTTTCAGGAATGGTACAGGCATTATAAAAAGTTCATTACAAACGGCGAACATTACTTCGAATACACACAAAACGCTTTTTGCGTTTTAAATAAGACTCGTCAGTTTATAAAACCATTTCATGCCCTTTAGTGTCGTACTTTAAACAGAAAATACATTCCAAGAGAGTTATAGGAAATATTGTCACGAGTAACTGGTAATTCGTGACTGCCAGTTTAAGCAGTTCAAGCTGTGCTCTGAACTTCTTCCTCATCTAGAAATTTTTACGAAGATCTGTTTCAGATCTGACAAACTATATCAAATTATTTTCTTCATCAAAATCTAGTCAAATAACTTGTAAAGAATGTACGTATCTTATTTCGAAGTAGCTATGTTAGTTTAACAGATTATATGTTGAAAGTCGAGATTTCTAATTTCGCAGTTACGAAAATTAAGCATTAGTTTATTTTAAGTTTGTGGTAACGTGTTTGGAAAAAGTAGCAGCCTACCTTGAAGATTGGTCGTGGTTTCAAATAACAGCCAGAGATCAGTTTTTATCAGTTTACAACAATGAAATTGTAGAGAGTTGTAATAATTTAGTAACTTTAATTGTTTCAACTGAAATTTAATATATGAAGATAAATTTATAAATTCTTTGATAAACTGTCATGTTATTTCAAAGAGAGAAGACATTACTAATATTAACATGGCGGGAAAATATAAAGGAAAATACATAAAATTGTGTATAACTTTATTGCTAAGATTTATTTAACTTGCCTGAAACATCAACAACTCCACGAATTTTTATGGATGCAAGATGTGCAGGGTAAGAGCTTTCGTTGACGTAGACCTCAGGTTACAGTAGGACTTTGATAAACTCCGTCGCACTTTTGAAAGAGAATCTCTTCGACGATAGATCCAAGAGATTCCAACTTCGCTTTCCAATTACTTTCCTAAGCCGCGAAGGTATATACACTTGCAACATATAAGCCTAATCCGGAATTCGAAATTAAGCCCAGCAATATGGCAACCAACATCGCTAACCGTTACAGTGATCAGAACGACAAGTATAGCGTTTATAATACAAGATAAAATCGAATGAAATTCAATATATGGGAGGACAAGTGCCATCGAATAATCTAAAAGGTTTCGATGTTACTAAATAACGGTAAGCAAATTATTGAAACCATGGTTTGTGATTGTTGTCTGGAATATGCCAAACGATGCTTAGATCCCAAATGAACGCATTCTGGTAATCATGGAGTGTAAAGATTATTGTGGATGTGGAAATATGTCTTCGGAAAAATGTTTGATTTGACTTCAGCATAATTCTCCAGTGTGCAAGATAATTAGGAAATGTAATGAGCTCAAGCGGAACAGAACTAAGGTTATGTTAAATTAATTGAATATGGCAAAGCTCACGAGGACTATCTGCCTAGTGGAGAAATGCTTTAGTGGAGTATCTTTTACGGTAACTGACTTTTATTTATGTTAAACACAGGGGGAAAAACTACGAAACCAGTCATATACCCAGCACACTCCCCTGGGAACGAACATGGAAAAGGTGAACTCCAGTATTGAACGGTCTTAACTACTGCGTCACTAATGGAGCTAACAACAGAAGCTAAGAAGAAAGAAGTTGCCAGCCAGGGTTCAGAAATACAATTTAGAATAAATTTTAGTCAGGAAGAGTGGATAAAGTTTTACTTGAACTTTTTAACTTATTTAACAGTTCGCACTTTTGTAGATTCTTTTATCTTTTTCGGAGTTTGAATTTTTGATACTAATAGCCTTAATTAGTGGATATATTCAGGTTTTTGTTTAAGTGTTTTTCATATTTTCGACGAAAACTCAATTATTGCTTATTATAACAATCTTGAAATCATGCATCAGTTTTGCTAAATTTAAATAAGAATTCAATTAGCGATAATGAAGTGAGAGGTTAAGCATGCGTGTGACAGAAAAATAGAACTCTTTTTTTTTTTTTTTTTTTTTTTGTCGTAACAATGATTTGTAACGGCGCCTGGGATTTAGAATAAACAATAAATTGTTTTCTAGTTTATTGTCACTTCAATGCCACATGTCACGTCTGGCTTCTTTTCTATATCAATCAAATATTCTTCGTAACTACCATCTGTACTGAAAAGACGCAAAATATTTCTACACGATTTTTATTTTCCCTGGAGTTTGATGAAGGTAAGTACTGTTTCATTTGTAAGTTTTTCTTAACAATAAATTTAATATTTTATCAAAGACAGATAAATAATCACTAATATTTTTTCGGAATAATAAGAATTTGTATACAGTTTCAAGAAGATTTTAAAACTGACAAAATTGAAGCATACGTTGACATTGGTTGAGTAGAAAAGCTTACAAATTTCTAGAAACTTCAGTAAGTTTTCCACAGAACAGATTTGGTATTTAAATGAAAATAACTTATATTTGTATTTCCCACTTAACATGATAAGCTTTGGATATTAATTCTTGAATTTAATCGTTATGCTTTAATTTTATATATATTTGAAAAATTTAGTTTGCTATATTTCTCTTTCAACGAAATGCAAGAAGAAAAACGTTTTAAACCAAACTTCTCCACAGTTGACTAGCGTAAAATAATTACTTACATCTTGCTTTCCCCTATACGAATACTTCAATTTATTATTTTTTTTCCATAAATAAACATTTCCCAATTTCAGATTGATTTATTCGATTATGGCAATGCACGATAAGGTTATTTGCTTAAGAGAAGGGATACCTTTGTGAAAAATTCTCTGCCTCGCATCTAGCAGCCATATGGAGAAAGTCACGAAAAGGCCTAGAATCGAACCCACGTCGAACTATCAGTGTTTAGCAAATTTACCGCTGGTGGTAAAGTCGCTGATTTCAGAATATCGCTAGTGATAAAATCCCGATTCCAGAATAAGTCGGAGAAGAGTAAGAAAATGCCATGCTTGCTCACAATCGAGAATCGTTCTCTGACAAGGAGTGTGGATTGATTTCACAAGAATTGATGAAATATTCAGTAGTTATGATAATGGAATAAAAATAATTTGCATGCATTAAAATTTTTTACTATTTTATACACTATTAGGAGCTTTATGTTGATAACGTGTTATAATGTTTTTACTAGATATGTAGAGGTAACAAAATTTTGAATGATAAATTTTCCCTGAAAAATAATTAAAATTAAATTAAATACTATTTTTTTTTGTAATGAAGTGCAGACATGGCATACTTAAGTACATTATAATTTCACTACATTGCGTATCGATTATGATATATAAGTATAATACGTGTATACATTAAACTAAACTAAAATAATGTTAAAAGGAATATATTATTCTCATTATCTTTAAAAAAATATAAAATTCAGTCAAAATGTAAAATTTCATTGAATTATTGGAAATTTATTCAGAAAAATAGATTTATAGAATTAATGCGTATAATATCTTATACCCGAGTAGTAGCCGAGTAGTAGGAAAAGGCTTTTTTTAGCAAAAAATGCTTTTACTGTTAAACGTATTCGAAATGTTAATGTTGTTTCGAAATGTTACGTTTCCTGCGAATTAAATTTTCAGCTAAATTTTATCCCTATGAAATATTGCTATTATGATTTTAAAACTGTGAAGTACTGCAACGACTGTAATTTCTTCTTCTAAATAACATTAAACGTTTCAAAAGTTTTGCAACTCACCTGTACCTGTTTGCCCTCGAAATCGAGAGTATGAATTAAAATTTAAGCCAAATATGTTATGTCGCGAATTTTAATTATATTAATATGTGTTTGAAGTTATCATTATTCTAGTATTTTTTGTTTGTACCCATGTGCATTCTAATATGGTAAAAAGAGTTTTCTTAAGTTGTTAGGAATTTATTTAGCTCATTTATTCTTGAACTGTAGTGTAACAAAGACAAAAAACGGTTGCAAGAGCCACCTGGTTTATGGCCTTTCACTACCAGTTGTGTTGTGATTTCTTCGCTGGTGGCCTTTTTACTAATAGCGTTGAAACAAAAATTGTCTTGCTTTCGTTTTGTTACATTTGCAATGTTTCTTTCAGTAAGCTTAGGTAAATGGATTTTCTTAAAGCTTAGTTTCCGCTTGTTAGTTGGGGGTCCACTTTACTTGTCCACGTTCTGAGCACAAATGTTTGGCTTCATTGTTAGATTTTTCTAGTTTTTGATTCGTCGTGGGGGTGGAATTTTCTCAGTTAAAGTAAAATTATGAGATTGGTAAGATTTAATTTGATGATTTTTTGTAGGCCTATGAAATTTTCGGGGAGCGGAGAGGAGAGTTTACCTCGGTACTTGCACCTTGTTAGAAGTCATTTGGAGTCTAATTTTCGAGCTAAAAGGAAAAGGTGAAAAGAGTGGGGGCTTGACCCGTTGCGGGTCTTACTCTCGCAAGCGCCGGCTGTTGATTCAGATTTCGGAGCGGAGTCCTATATGGAGTGATTTGAGTTGCAACATTTTTAAGTCTCGTAAGAGTGCGCGGGGATTGACTAAGCTACTAGAAGAGCATTTTATTCCAGAAAGATTTAAAATAAAGTGCTAATTTCCAAGAGTACTTTACCGACTACTTTTAGCACTGATTACTTCTGGTATCTTCTTCTTTATTCTTTGAGAACTCTCTGCTGTTTTGAATGCAGCGTTGAAGGCGAATCATTTTTAAATCCGTGAGAAGTATCCAGCGCGGCGGTGCGGGTTTCGACAACGGTTCTTCGGAGGTCATCGGCTACCTTCCGCAAAGAGATGAATTCACGAAAAGGAAAGAGAATTTTCTCTGTGAGTAGAACGATTGTAATGTTCCTAAGAAATCTAAGAGATGAATCCATGAAAAGAAAAGAGACTTTTTCCTGTGAGTAAAAGGGATTGTAATGTTCCTAAGAAATCTATGAGATGAATTCACGAAAAGGAAAAGACTTTTCCCTGTGTCTAGAAGGATTGTATGATGCGGAAATTCCACTGGTCTCGTCTTTCGTCGAGTTCCAGCTAGTAATCCGGCTAAAGCAGTGTGATGTGGGAAATTCTACTTGACTCAGCAATACGGGACTTATTCTAGAAGTTATCGTAAGTTCTGGTTCGAGTGAAGAAGGTTTTTCCTAACTACTAACTGTGAGTTCCTTATTTTTTTCGTTTATAATATTTGCAGGCATCATAGATTATTTGGCCCGGAAAAGGTGAACTAATCTTGCATTTTAGTGGAAAGGGAAAATTAATTTAATAATGAGAAAATCACTTTGTACCTTAAAGAGAATTTGAAATTGTTGCAAAATAAAAATGTGTAATTCTGTAAATTATAAAATTCTTGATTAGTTTAGGTGAGATCCAGTTTAAATATATAATTTAATGCTGGCGGATTGTTAAGTCATTAAGACTATTTAACTGTAAGATTACGTCATTTTTTCTCTTCTTGGCGCCTTGCATGGCGCAGATGTTCATTACAGCAACCCTGTAAACGCTTACTCAGTTTTATTTTTTATTGCTGTTGTTGTTAGTAGTAAGTCATCGCTTGAAAGATGGCACGCATTTGATTAAAGTTGTTGAATAAAATATGTAGTACAGTCCACTTCTAGTTAATTTGAAATTGTTGTATAACAACGCACGCATCGCATGAACACTTTATGGCCCGCCGAGCCACAGGTAAAAGACATCGTTGCTAAAATTAACCTTTTAGAACATTTGGAATACTTTCGTTTGGTTGTATTACGCATAACTTCATATAGAGTGTTTGGAATGCTTTCGTTTTCGTGTGGATTACGCAATTAAGATTGGATACTGTGTCATCGTTCATTTCCGGTGTTGCTGTCGAGAAATCTGCAATCACGGTAAGTGATAAATTATTTATTTGTTCATGATGAGTGAATTGAAAGCGATTAAAGCTAACAAAAAAAAGTTTAAAATGCAGTATCAGAAAGTTTGAAAATAAGGTAAATTCTACAGTGGATGAAGCAGATATTTCCTTATTGGAGTTATACGAATCAAAAATATTAGAATTTAAAAAGGAATTAAGTAACATTTTCGATTCTTTATTTGCACATTGTGAAGAAAAGGACACTGACGAATTCATTAAGGAAAAGGAAAATGTAGTAGATAATCTCGATGAAATTCATTTGAAAATTAAAAGAAAAATTTCTGAGATCCGTTCTCAAAGGAATAGCTGCTCAAATGAAAACGGTTCGAGTAAAGACATAATTGTTTCGGATATAAAATTGCCTAAATTGTCTCTTCCAATATTTAGTGGGAAAATCGAAGAATGGATTGAATTTGAGGATTTATTTTCCGCAGCTGTGCATAAAAATAGCAAATTAACTAATGCGCAAAAATTGCAATATTTAAAGAGTTCGTGTAAGGCAGACGCTTTAAATATTATTCAGTCCATTCCAATTTCAGATTCGAATTATGACATAGCATGGAATCTGTTGGTTGATCGCTATTGCAACAAAAAAGATTTGATCAATTCTATCATAAAGAAATTAATTTCTATACCTCAAACGAGTGATTCTACTTCGTCGCTTTTAAAATTTATCGATAAGGTGCATGAATGTTTACGATCCTTGGAAGCATTGGAGCAAAAGGTGGAAGAATTTTCAGACACGTTAATTGTTTATTTATTAGTTGAAAAGTTGGATAGAAATACTCGGTGTTGGTGGGAAAGGTCACTTAAAAAAGACGAGATAGGAACGGTTAAACAACTGACATGTTTTTTGAAGGAACACGCTCGCACCCTATCACATTACAAACCTCCGCATGGGGAATCGAAACGTTCATTTAATACCAAAGCTCTTACATCACTTTCGGAAAATTCAAAAAATTGTCCTTATTGTAAAGCTGATCATTTATTGTTGAAATGTGCGCAATTCTTAAATCTAACAGTCAAGAAACGATTGGAATTTGTAAAGACAAAAAAAACTATGTTTCAATTGTTTATCTTCGGTCCACACAATCAAGGACTGTAAAAGTTCTAATACATGCAGAAAATGTCAGAAATTTCACAATTCGCTCTTACATTTTGATCGAAATGAAGAAAATTTCGATAAAGCAAATGGCACATCGAATCAAATCACAAACAAGACTAATAAATTAAGCAGTAATCTTTCTCCAAATGCTGATACATTTACTCCAATGGCAAGCAGCCAAAAGGTTAGTGACACTAATGAAACCAACCAAGCAAAGTCCATTAACGGTACTGCGCTGAA